CTGGGACCCAGGCGCTAGCGACGGCGCGCGGGCGGGGCGCCCCGGGGAGAGCGCGGAGGCTCGGGCGCCTGCGCAGTCACGGAATTCCTGGCCCCGGCCGCTTCCTGTTCCTCAGCCACAGGTGTCCGCGCCGCGCTCCTGCGCGCAGCTGCAGGGGCGGTGGCAGGTTGGGCGCTGCTTGGGACGGGCTAGAACGCTTTGCAAGCTTGAGTTTCGAAGGAAGCTTTCGGACGCCGGATGGAGGTCGCAGCGCTGCCTTAAAAAACCTGCCTGACCCACCGTTCCCATTTGCCACTGCTGTCTTCGTTTCCGTTGTTAGGATGGGAATGTTAAAGTCCTGTGACACCACCCATTGTCCCCAGCACCTTGCTGCCCTGCTAAACCGAAACTTTTGCACCCCCTAATCTATGTGACTGGCATATATATATATATATATGACTTGGGAGGAAGCAAGCCTTTCAAACGGCCTTTAGAAATACCAAGTGTCTAAGGACCTCCGGCCTTTTGAAGATAGGCGCGGCTGTAACCTTATGTCCTTGGCAATGTAGAGGGGGTCATGCTGCACGCCAAGGCCGGGTAACACAGTTCTACCCAACTGCATTAATTGCACCTTACTTACAAGGGAAAGCCAGACTATTCATATATCAACCATGTATTGGCTATAGAGAATCGAGCAGCTTTTTCGACATTCTGAGCGGTGATCAAATGCTAAATTAGCAGGTCTTATCCTAACACCATGTTAGAGATGGAGAAATAGCTGTAGGTTATGGTATACACCTTTCTCCACCCTTCAGCTGAAATGTCAATTCCACGAATAAAAAGATTTTTGTCTTGACCCCTATTATAGTTACATCTCCTAGCACAGTGCCTGGCACACATAGTTGGAGGTAACTGCTATTTACTGAATGAATTAATGGAAAATGAGTTCCCAAGGTTTCTCAGACAGTGGTAGGGGAGCCAGAATGATGAATACCAGTCTCCTGATCCTAACCAGGGCTTCTAATTTGCCGTGAGGGGTGGGGTGTGACTAGCAGGACCCCTTGCGTAGGTCACTCCAACCTGTTAGGTAAGTCAACTCAGAAGATAAAACAACTGTCATTTCAACTTCTGGTGATTACCCTATTGGGAGCTTGTTAGCTCCCTTGGCTCACTAGAAAAGGAAAATTAGATTTCATCACTACTTTTTTTGGGTATCTATTGCTCTCTGATTAAGCACTGAAACTGAACTCTTCCTTTAGTCTTTCTGTACCTGGTGTTCTGAAACAGAAGACAAGACAATTAACAATAAAATAATCCTCAAATAATATTTACTGAGTATCCATTGTGTGCCCAGCAGAGCTAGCATAACAGGAGCCTGGAGGGAGATAAAGAAACTATTAATATTTAAAATCTAAAGCAAGAAGGCATTTTAACAGGTTGGAGTCATCACAGAAAAAAAATTAGCATTAGAGGCACAGAGGACAGACTAGGTCTGATGTAACAAATGGGTAACAGACAGATATACACAGAAATGTGAAGATTCCAAACTTTAACATACATGAAGGCTTCCTGCGCTTTTAGATTGTGTGGGGGACGTGGACCATGGAAAACTGCACATTCACTATGCGAATCAGTGCCCATCCTGTATCGTAATCTGAAGAGTCTTCCTGGGGGAAATGATCATTCCGGAAACTCAAAGCAATGTGTCGCCAGCCTTGGACATGGGAGTTGTCTCCTGCCCTTGGAGTCTAAAAGAAGACAAGGCTTTCCACGTGATCGCAAAGAGATTAGAATGAGAAAGCGCAAGAGAGGAAATCCGATTCTTTCATGCTCCATCTGAAAGGAGTTACTAATGATTCCATTCTGGAAAATCATCTGTCCAGCATATTTTGGTGGTGTGCAGAAATTTGGCAGAAGTTTAGAAAAATAGGATTCTAAACCAAAGTTGCAGAGTTATTGAATAGGCTAGAAAAACAGGAAATTCAGCAGTCATCAACCAAACAGTAGGGGCAAGACAACCAATGTTTAAAATAAAAGGGATGGTTCTGACTGGTTTGGCTCAGTGGATAGAGCGTTGGCCTGCAGACTGAAAGGTCCCAGGTTCGATTCCAGTCAAGGGCATGTACTTTGGTTTCGGGCACATCCCCAGTGGGGGGTGTGCAGGAGGCAGCTGATTGATGTTTCTCTCTCATCTCTGTTATCAATGTTTCTAACTCTCTATCCCTCTCCCTCCCTCTCTGTAAAGAATCAATAAAATATATTTTTTAAAACAAATTAAACAAAAAGAATGGCCTGGCCAGTGTGGGCCAGTGGTTGAGCATCCACCCAGGAACTAAGAGGTCACTGGTTTGATTTCCTGTCAGGGCAGATGCCTGGGTTGCAGGCTTAATCCCCAGTAGGGGGCAGGATTCAATGAAATTTCTCTCTCATCAATGTTTTCTATCTTTCTATCCCTAACCCTTCCCCTCTCTCTAAAACATATTTTTTTAAAAGGACAGGTATTTAATGTATGAATATTTATTGAGTACCTGCTATACTCCCAGCATAGTGCCAATTATAGAAAATTCAGAAGCTGATTCTGTCCTGCAGCCCAGACAGCAGAAACCTAAGACATCTTTATAAAAGAAGACCAGCCCGGCCAGTGTGACTCAGTGGTTGAGCATCAACCTATGAACCAGGAGGTCACGGTTTGATTCCTGGTCAGGACACATGCAGGCTCAATCCCCAGTGGGGGCCGTGCAGGAGGCAGCTGATCAATGATTCTCTCTCATCATTGTTGTGTCTATCTCTCTTTTCCTCTCTGAAATCAATAAAAATATATTTTAAAATAGGACCAATCCTGGTATGTTTTTTTTGAAGGTACATTTATCTAAATACCACTTTCTCTTAGTTACCATCCCTTTATTTTTATTTTTATTTTATTTTATTGATTTTTTTACAGAGAGGAAGGGAGAGGGATAGAGAGTCAGAAACATCGATGAGAGAGAAACATCGATCAGCTGCCCCCTGCACGCCCCCTACTGGGGATGTGCCCACAGCCAAGGTACATGCCCTTGACCAGAATCGAACCTGGGACCCTTCAGTCCACAGGCCGACGCTCTATCCACTGAGCCAAACCGGTTAGGGCTACCATCCCTTTAAAGATACTAAAATTCCCAACCTCCTCACCTCCCCCCAAAATAAAACTTTTAAAAATGCAAACATTTATCCATTTTTTCACCCATTAAAGAATCATTTTTATATAAACCTAATATGAAAAACAATATTGAAAAAGAAGTATAGAGAACTCATACTTCCCAATTTCAAAACTTACTACAAAGCTACAGTCATCAAGACCATGTGATACTGGCATAAAGATAAACATATAGGTCAGTGGGATAGAATTGAGAGCCCAGAAATTAATCCATATGGTTATGATCAGTTGACTTTGACAGGGTGCTGAGACAATTCAGTGGCGGGAAAGAAAAGTCTTTAACAAATGGTGCTGGGCAACTATATATCTGCATACAAAAGAATGACGTAGACCCCCACTTCACAATTTATACAAAAACTAACTCAAAATGAGCTAAAACTATCAAATCCTTAGAAGAAATTAGAGATAGAAATCTCAGTGCCCATGAATTAGGCGACAATTTCTTAGGTGTGACACCAAAAGCACAAATGACAAGAGAAAAAAAGTAGATAAGTTGGACTTGACTAAAATTAAAAACTTGGTGCTTCAAAGGACACTAAAGTGAAAAGACAAACTGAACATTGAGAGACTATATTTAAAAATTATATTTATGTTAAGGGACTTTGAAATATGTAAAGAATTTAT